AAAAAATATTCATGTGTCATAAATATTAAAATTAATATTAATTTTTTAATTTTTATATATAAATTAATACATTATTAATAATAATAAATATAATAAATACACCTTTATCTAATGTACTTAAGATGCAACATAAAAAAATCTTATTTAATATTACAAATTTTAAACAAATAAAAAAATCAACCATCTAAATAATATTTAAAATTATATAAAAAAATATTATGCTTATATCATTTTCCCTGCCTAAATTTTAATTTTCGAGAAAGGTGAGTGTATATTGTAAATTAAACGCAAAAATCACCAATTAGTCCCTAAACTTGCTAAGTTTGAACCTAGCTTCTCTCATACTATAATATTTGTAACTTTAAGTCCCTAAAATGCACAAATAATTTATATTTTTATTAATATTGCTTTTAAAATTTAAATTTAGTAAATAATAATATTAAAGTAAAAAATATTTATTTTTATTTAAATATAAAAAAATAATTATTTTTCTTATCTTAAAATAATAATAAAAATTTATTAGTTTCTAAGGTTTGAGTCTTCCTAACGGCATTGAGTGGGCCACCCCTTGAAATGTGGACCCATCACTGGCAACCACTTTGTTTTTTCCTTTTGATAAGTTCCGACGACCACTTTTGAAGGCTCAGTTTCATGATTGTTTCATTAATGGTTAATGGTTAATGGTTGATTCCTTCTTAAAAATGCTAAACCTTGTTACTGTTCTTCTCTTTTTTGAAGACACCCAACACATACGGATTCTATCACTATTATTTCTAAAATTTAACTTATGAAATAATTTTTTTAAATTTTATCTTTTTTATGGTTAATTTTACTAAAATGTAATCTTTCTTTCAAATCAAATAAAATTTCTATCACTTTGTTGTTAAAGTAATATAGCTTTATGATAGAGTTTTCTTATACTTTTAAGTTATAAAATTAAGATTCAATATTTAATCTCTATATATCAAAACATGCACTTATAATTCCAAGTTTGATATATAATGAACTATGGCCACTAACAAGAGTCATAAAAAAACTACTAAATTAATAGTTAAGCTCTCAAATTTATAGGAATATAATTTTTAAGCTCTAAACTATATAACATTTAAGCTTGGGAACTATTCAAGTCTAACATATTAACCTTTTTTTACGTAAACTATTTTTAATTTTTTACAAACTTAAGTGCCATGTGAAATTTGATAAACTTAAGAATTATATTAAAATTAACCTTTTTTTGTTAGTGTTACATGAATTTTTTTTTTTAATGAAAACTAAAAGCTTCAATAAAATTTTTGTCAAAAGAAGAAGAAGAAGAAGAAGAAGCTAATATTAGAATAGGGACTTGAATGTTAGTTTTTTTAGTTCATAACTTAGAAGTTAATCCATATAAGTTTGATGGCTTAATTATTCATTTAACCCATAAAAATTAGAAGAGATGAAAATTTTTTCCCAATTTTGCCGAAGTTAAAAGTAGTTTTATTTTATTTGGCTGGGTGGGAAGAGGATTCCGTTAGATTAGCATTTGTGTAGTATTTTTTGTGGACAAAAGGCTAAAGAAAGGCGATGTGGCAGGTGAATTGCAAGTCAGCTTTGGGTTCCAATAAAAGCGACGAGATTCCCCACTGCCACTGCAGGCTTTTTTCTCTAAGGTTATTATCACGTGTTTTGGTTTTTTTTCTTTAACAGTGATTTGTTGACTTGAAGTCCTTAAGAGAATAAATTTAATTATTTTTAAATAAAATTTGAAATTTAAATTTTATAAGTAAAAAAATAAGTATTGAAAGAGTTTTTTTTATGAGATTTAATATGATTTAATTCTGAATTAATTGAGTTTAACATGATTTTCGGATATCCAAATATTAATACCAAAAAAATCACATTTTTTTACTAAACCTATCATTTTGAAAATCATATTTCTTCTTAATTAATTTAAAATTAAATTATGTTAGACTTTACTAAAAAACTCTTTCAATATTTAATTTTTCATTTATAAAATTTAAATTTAAAATTATATTTTAAAAAAATAATTTTTTTATTTAAATTAAAAAATCATTAATCATGTATATTTTTGTTAACAGCACGTAATTTTTATTGATGGTTTACTAAAATAATTTATAAAATTTTAAATAACTAATTATAATATTTAAAAATATTTTTATAGAAATTAATTTTAATTTATTAAATATAATAAATATTAACTATTTTACTCTATCAATTATTTTTAATAACTAAATTGATTAAATATATCAATTAAAATTAAATGATCTCGCCAAAAACATGTACAATCATAACCTCAGCCCTCTCTCTAGTCCGTAGTACATTTCCTCTTACGTTAATTTCACCGGACGAGACACATTAGATGAGATAAGGAAACCCCTTTAACGTATACCAGGTCGATGGGCATCATCAATTCGACCATTCTT